AGAGAGGAGAGCCGCTCATCAGTCCGGCTGTTTCCTATAGCAGTGGTCCGCAGGGGTTTGCGAACCGCCGAATTTCCTCTATGCCGCGATTCGCTCTCCGCTTCCCCCCCTGCGCCTGCGGGCCGCATCTCCCAGTTTACCAGTCTCCCTCTCCCACCTCTCTCTGCAGGTGCGTGTTGCGAAAATACGTTATGATTTAACAAAATAAATTGCAGGAAAACGATCAGTAAAAAGAACAAAATTTCAATGACAATTTACCGGCACAATTTTCACCAGAAAGGGTTAAAATCGTGTTCTTGCGGCTTCATTTTTTAAAAAGTTTCCGGGGGAGGCCCCCTGAAGCCCCCTTTAAGGAAGGGGAGTGAACCTTTCTGAGCGCCCCCCCCGTCCTAAAGTTAACACTCCTACCGAACGCCTACCGGATATAGTCACGCCACGCCACTGCCAAGAATCTGATTGGTCTAATGTGCATTTGGTGAAATTTTGGTGAACTTTCATCGAAAAACGCGCGAGATACGAAATAAAACGTAAAAATACCCCGAAATTCCCCGAAAAGTGGGTTTTTCGGGGCTGGAGAGGGGGGTGGTTGGGGTCAGGAGGTAAACATTGCCCAAAACCATGTTTTTAGGACCTCCTAAAAGGGTTTAGACCATTAAATTCAAAATCCGTGAGGAGGGGCATTTTGGTACCCTTACCCAGGGATACCTTTTGGCCCCTTTTTAGGTATTCGATTCGACCATCGGACCAAGGTTTAAATGGAAGCTTATATTAACAGAAAAGTCAGGAAATATTTCAAGATGAGTAAAGGAACCGTTTTCGAGTTAGGGGGGGCAAAGGGGTCACAATCCGGCCTAATTTTTTGCTGTTTTCTTGTAGAATTGATGTATCGGCGGGGTTCTTATCGTTGTTTACGCATGTGTAGCACATGGATTCCTATGTGTTTTCACACGCAGAATCGATTTTTAAAGTTGCCGAATCGATATACTTATCAGTTAAATCGATTTTGAACGATTTATTAAGGAAAATCGATGATTTTTCAGGATCGAAATTGTTTATTTTCGTATCGTATGAATCGTATCGTATGAATAAATGCATCTGAAATTACTGAAGCACTATTTTGATACGTAGAGTTTATTTTTAACGTTGACGAATCGATTTATCTATCGTTTGTATGGAATTTTTGCTATTTTTTACGAAAAATCGATGACTTTTCGGAATTAAAATCAGGTTTGCTCCATCCGAGATCGGAGAAATGTACCCAACATGATTGGGGCACATCGACTCTTACGTATTTTTATACGTGGAATCGATCTATAACCTCATTAAGTCGATATATCGATCAATTGTATTGAATTTTTGCGATTTTTTGCGGAAAACCGATGGTTCATCGGGATTGAGATCGGTGTCTCTCCATCCAAGATCGGAAAAATGTACCCTTTATGATTGGAGCACATCAATTCTTACGTATTTCTACACCGTATACCGGACCGTTAGTAACCAATTTCATTCCTGTTCAAATAATCGATTTTCCACAAAAATCACAAGAAATCAATATGACCAGGCAATGTATCGACTCGTCGACTTCTTAAAAATTGATTTTGCGAGAATAATCACAAACGAATCGATGTGCTCCAGTCATGTCTGGTAGATGTTTCCAATGCCAGTCCAAAAGAACCATCGAATATCCGTAAAAAATCGCAAGAGTTGTGTATGTCAGATCGATATATCGACTCGTCGACGTTTAAAATTGATTCTACGTGTAGAAATACGTAAGAATTGATGTGCTCCAATCATAAAGGGTACATTTCTCCGATCTTGGATGGAGAGACACCGATCTCAATCCCGATGAACCATCGGTTTTCCGCAAAAAATCGCAAAAATTCAATACAATTGATCGATATATTGACTTATCGAGGTTATAGATCGATTCCACGTATAAAAATACGTAAGAGTCTATGTGCTCCAATCATGTTGGGTACATATCTCCGATCTCGGATGGAGCAAACCCGATTTTAATTCCGAAAAGTCATCGATTTTCCGTAAAAAATCGCAAAAATTCCATACAAACGATAGATAAATCGATTCGTCAACGTTAAAAATAAACTCTACGTATCAAAATAGTGTTTCAGTAATTTCAGATGCATTTATTCATACGATACGATTCATACGTTACGAAAATAAACAATTTCGATCCTGAAAAATCATCGATTTTCCTTAATAAATCGTTCAAAATCGATTTAACTGATCAGTATATCGATTCGGCAACGTTAAAAATCGATTCTGTGTGTGAAAACACGTAGGAATCCATGTGCTACACATGCGTAAACAACGATAAGAACCCCGCCGATACATCAATTCTACAAGAAAACAGCAAAAAATTAGGCCGGATTGTGACCCCTTTGCCCCCCCGTAACTCGAAAACGGTTCCTATACTCATCTTGAAATTTTTCCTGACTTTTCTGTTAATATAAGCTTCCATTTAAACCTTGGTCCGATGGTCGAATCGAATACCTAAAAAGGGGCCAAAATCAGCCTCTTTTTTGGGAGGCTCTTCGGCAGGAATATGCATAAATATGTTGAGAACAAAAATCTATCGAGACCCAAGTTCAATCGGCCATTTATACCCAAGCGAAAGGCCGCCATCTGGGAAATTAACAGCCCAGTCCTGCTTCTCCACGGTTTCTCAGATTTGCGCGGCTGTTTTGCAGCTAGACGCGTGAATTTTGGCAAGAATATCCATGGGTGTATTGAAAATAGAAATTCATCGAGACCCAAGTTTGGTCAGCCAATTTACCGCCGAACTTGGCCGCCATCTTGGAAAAAAAGCGATCTGCCGCCCTGTTCCTCCTAGGTTTGTCGGATTTTCTTGGCTGTTTTGAAGCCAGATGCATGAAACTTGGAATGAGTAGGTGTAGATATGTGAGGAACCCAGTAATTCTGACATTGAAATGAAGTCAGCTTTACCCCGGTTAATGGCCGCCACCTTGAGAATGAGCCATCAACCTCTCTTTCTCTGAGGTATCTCGGATTTTTGTTGCCCGTAGGAGCGAGATGTATGAAAGGCAGGCATACACATACGAATATAATTGAAAATAAGGAACCTCGAGACATGCGTTTAGGAGATTAACATGTGAAATTTTATTTCAGAAAACAATGGAAAAACAAGAAAATTTAAACAATTAATTCTAATTATTTTTTTAAAAAAGTCGCCGTAGAGCAGTCTTGATATTGGATGAGATGAATATGTTTTCTGTTTTGCACTGTGGTTTATTATACGTTTTCTAGATTAACAGCTTTCAACTTCAAGCTTAAATCATACATGAAACACGTTTTTATTGTAAACATTACAAAAAGTAGAAAAAACCTGAAAAATTTTGAGTCATTTTTCGAATTTAAAGAAATGTTGACTAGGAAATTCCTGGAATCGAAAATTTTTTTACGGTGGCTGTATTGTGTTGCGCTGCATGAAATTTTCTAACATTTCTAAAAATACTAATTTAGTACCATCTAGAATTGAAGTTAAAGAAAACAAGGAACACGTAGCGAAGGACTTTTGGAACTCATTTGGTACCTGACAGTCTTTTAAGGGAACATACCAAGAAATGTTTCACATTTTTTGAAATTCAACACACAATCGACGGTATCTTCTATCTCTCTGCAACGGCAGTGGTGCCCAACAAAAATGAGATATCAACATTAAATTGACTGCGTATTAAGATCAATGGATCTAGATCTCTTACTGAAACTACTCATCAGACCATTCGGGTGATTCGGTTGCTTTCAATTTCGTTTTTGTCGGGCACCACTGCTGTTGCAGAGAGAAGATATCGTCGATTCGATGAATCGACAGTGCGAACTCCAGAATAAGGCTGCACTTACGTGGCTGGATGAGATTAAATGAGTAAGACATTTTTTGTGATCGCGGTGGTGGTTTTCTTGAAAACTGGCAACCCCACATATACATGAATTCCTACGGAAATTGGATAATGTTGTGAATACCACGTCGAAAATAATCAGTTTAGGTTGAAATCAGCAGCTGAGCGTGACTAAATAAGTAATACCTACTTTAAACTGTGATCGCAGCGGTGGTTTTTACTGAAAACCGGCAACTCCGCCGCCACGAGAATTCTTGAAAATCATTCAAAAAAGCTCAAAAGATGCCGAACTGGCTTTTCGAGTTTTGTTTGGCTTAGGCGTTTTGCTTCAACTTGCTTTGGAGTCGCGAAACGTACGGGAACGAGCGTCAAAATTGGGTGTCGGGCGTGTTGCCGAATTTTTAAATCGCTATAACTCGTATTCCCTAAGCCCCTCAGAAAAGTGTAACATATCAATCGATGCGAAATCTAACGAATTGTAATTCCGACAGGTTTTTGTTTAATCCTCACCAACTGCAAACCCTCTTTTAAGCGGTAACGTGATTTTTATTAATTATGAAAATTAAAAAAATGGCCAAAACGTGGCAACAAAGGACTCAAATTATAATTTCTTCTGCGTAGGTCGTTAGAGCGATAAAGCTTTGTAACTGCTTTTCTGCGGAAGGTATACATATTTGAATGTTATGACTTAAAGAAATGGGAACGTCGATTCCCTGCGGTTTCGCTTAAAAGCCGCCAGAAGAAAGCCCAAAATGACCTATACAGTCATCCCACAATAAGTTTCCTACAATCCCCGCTGGTTAACTTTTTGGCCGTTTTGCGTACCTAATCCTCTCTCCAAGTTGCAAAACCACAATATCAAACCACCAAAAATATTGAGGTAACATGTCTGAATCAGGTGTGGGCGGCTCACAAAAATAAGACCAATCTATAATTTTGTAACGACAGTATCCTCATCGACGAAAGCCTCATTAACGAAACAAGTTTTGGCTGGTATCCCAGAAAAAGATTCAAATGAAGGAGAGGAGGATATCATTGGATATTTCTCTGACAACAGAGACCATTCAACATCTTTTTGGAGTTCAGCATATACTTTGTCGTACCTCTTCTCACGTTTTTCAATTTCACCAAACCAGGGTTTCAGTTTTTTCAAAATTATGTACTCAACAAGGAATGTTTCTACAAAAAAACTGGTGAGAAAGTTCACAACAACTAAGCCAAGAACAACGGAGGGAAAATCTAACTTTGGTGGCAATTTTAGTTCCAGTAAAGAAACTACCCATTCACCTGGGGCAATGACAATATACACACAAACGAAGGTCATTATAATGAGCGAAAGTGTAAGGTACACATTTTTATAAATAGGAGTTCTGTATGGTTTGCCTTTTGAAAACACAATCACAAATATTATGTACTGAAACATGGATACACTGAAAACAGCATAATTTTCAAAACTTGTATAATCAAGATCATTATTGTACTTATAAGGCACAAACCAAGAGAACTTCTGGACTAGATTAAAGGAAATGCATTGAAAGAGAATAGCCACAAAGGCCTGTGACAGCATTGAACAAATTGGTATAACAGCCATCAGACTGTTCTGAGGAACGGATTTTGAGAGGACACCTTCATCTGCTTTGTTTCGCCCAAAGAAACAAGCAAAATTCACAACTAAAGCCATGTCAATGAAAAGGAATTCAAAGTCAGTCAAATTACTATCAATTCCATACAGCAATATTGTAGACCAAAACTCTGATAAACTGTACAGAATCATAAATTTAAAGATGCCAAAAGAGGTGGTGAGAGCAGCACGACCCTCCTTGATGATGCGAGGCACACAACTTATATTTGGTTCTCGGGCAGTAAATGGCGAGGCAATCGATGACTCTGTCTTAGAAAGGGAGATTCCTGCATGTGCCGCTCTCAATGCACCACAGTCGTTTGCTCCATCTCCACACATTGCTAAAAGAAAGAAAAAACCGAAGGTATGAAAAAATAATTGATGACGCATGATAAAGCGGTGCGGTTGAATGACCCCCAAGTAGCATTGGATTCTATTTTCTGTCTAGAACTAATTTAGAAATGTTTTGTCTATTTTCTAAACAGAAAATAAAATAGAAAGAAAATGGAAATAAAATAGATGTATCAAATAGAAGTAAGAAATTTATTAAAAATATTATATTTTCTGTCTATGTTCCGGACACTTAATACAAGGAAAACATACAATTTTGTTGTCTAGGTACCTTCTTTGTCTTTTCCATCTGTTTTCTGAATTTTAAATTTAAAACTAGGGGGCTGCGCCCCCTGGCCGCTACGCGGCCCAACCCCCCAGAGGCGCTTCGCGCATCTAATATACAGGTATAAATAGCATTAAGATCGTGATGTGTTTTTACTATGTTTGAAATGAGAGAATTAAAACAAATAGAAGAGAAGTAAAATAAATGGTACGTAATAGTGGTACGTAGCAAAAATAAGGCACGTGTAAAAAATTCAAAAAAAAAAACAAAAATATACAGGTATAAAAAAAAAAATAATCTAAAAAAAAGGTGAGAAAGGTAAGATAAGTAATAAGGAAGTTGGATTAGATGGCTAAAAGTAAGAAGGGGAGGAAGACTAAGGAATTGTGAGAGATCTTGCTTCCGCAAAATCGCCGAGACAACTGAACGGACAAAATTATTTCCAAAACGACGGTGGTGATTGACGGGCGGGGTAACGGAGGGAGGTAATTTTGAGTCATAGAGGTAGCGGCAACGGCGGGGTAGCGGTGAGCATGGGCGGCAGGAGGGGAGCGGGGAGTGGAGGCAAACCCGGTTTGGACTTAGGACTTCTCGAGACGGCGGGAGGCATGCGAGCGTGCGCGGCAGGCGGGGAGCGGGGAGTGGAGGCAAACCCGGTTTGGACTTCGGACTTCTGGAGACGGCGGGAGACATGCAGGGGCGTAGCTAGGAAATTTCTCTGGGGGGACCACCTCTCGTGGTGAAGAGAGCGGGGGGAGGGTGAGGAATGAAGGATCCCGTTTTTCTGGGGGGGCCACGAGATTTCTGGGGGGCCAGACCCCCCCAGGACCCCCCTAGCTACGCCCATGGAGACATGTGAGGGTGCGCGGCGGGAGAGGAGCGGGGAGTGGAGGAGAAACCGAGCGTTACTAATTAGCGTGACACCCTCAGCGTGACATCCTCAGCGTGACATCCTCAGCGTGACACGGTGCGCTTATGATTTTATACTATAGAGTAAGTTTTAAAATTGACAGAAAATGAATGACATATATATTCGTGATCTACGACTCGAGATCGGTGCTCTTTACACGGTCCCAGGTCTAGGTCCCACCATGAGGGAGAACGCAATAGTGTATTTTTCCGTCGGAAAATACACTAAAAATTAAAGGCATTTTTTTAAAATTTACATTCCTTCAAAATGAGCTGTTTTTGTGATATGTCGCGTAGCACAGTGCCCCACTTTTGTGCCTCGTATACCTTGAATTTTGAGTTTAGTCCAAAGATCTTTTAGGAACTTAAATTAATGAACCAGGTGATGTGCTTGCTGCACACTTTTAGAATTAGAATTAAAGGCATTTTTCAAAATTTCCAATCCTTCAAAATGAGCTTCCCGCGTGATTTTGCTAAGAATGGCCCATGGCCCCTAGCCCCCCCCCCCAAATTATAGCGTACCCCAAAATCGTTTGACGTGCGCAACTACCAGGGTGTGAGGGGCCCGAGGGCGGAGACTCAACCGTCTACAAGTACAAACACCACATCTATAAATTCAAACAGATACACACCGCTGGGAGGAGGTAAGAGTGCAAAGCAACGGCGGGACCCCTTCCCGACGCTACCCCCACCTCGACAGTCAAGCCGAACCACTTGCGGAGGCAAGAAGAGAAAAGGGAAAGACCAACGCCCTAAGACGTCAGACCCGCAGAGACCGCCAGCAACACCGGCAACGGAACAAAGAACGATTATCAGGGATAAAGACACCTTTCGCGGGGCGGACATTGTAGTCCAACCCAAGTTCCAGAACGCGACGGTCTCCTGTAACGACGTCTGGACCGAATTGACTAAAACCGTCAATCCCAGAGAGGTGGAGGCACAGCCACTTAGATGGGCAAGAGCGCGTGACGCGCAGGTGCGAGTAACCTGCGCCACGCAAGGCGAAGCGGAAGCTCTTGCAGCTGCAGTAAATAACAGTGCCGTACTGACTGCAAACGTGCAGGGGAAAAGCAACCCTAGAATTGCGTTCCATGGCGTCCCGGTCGGTCTCCCGAATGAGGATCTGAACTCAATTTTTCGGGAACAGACTGGGGCAGATCTCGGGTACGAATACAAGCACACCTTTGGGAGTAGATCCGCGACAACCAACGTCCGGGTCCGCGAATGCTCTCCGGAAATTCGTCAAAAGATCGCACTGTTACTTCCTCGGTGGTCGGTCGGCTGGGCTTTTGTTGCGGTCCGGGAACACCTCCGCTTAATGCAGTGCCACCGCTGTCAGCTTTACGGACACTTGCAATCGGTGTGCACCGCCAGAGAACCCACTTGCAAATGGTGCGCCGGGAGCCATAATTCTGGCCAGTGCTCCACGAAAACCAACAAAAACCTTTGGGTCTGTGCAGGGTGCAGGAAACACCGCATGCCCGGACCACGCCACGCCAGTGGGGACACGAACCTGTGTGCCTATCATAAGCTCAGACGCAACGACCTCGAGCGTAGCATAAACTACGGCCAAAAGACTCACGTGCCACAGCCGAAGACTAGAGGCGAAGTGGCGAACGCCGAGCCGCGGACTCCGCAAGCTACCAGACATCTAAACTGGGGCTCCGCGCCACCAGTTACCACAATCTCATCTTCAAACACACCTTCTTCTTCTGCACACTGGTCCTCACTGGTACCCGACCGACTATCCCAGCCCAACACATCGGATAACAACAACGGCAGCGGCTTTCTCGCCGACGGTATCACACCCAGAACAACGTCGTAATACCGATGGAGACGGACCCCAGCTCACAAGGGGGGGGGGGGGGAGACTGCCAGTAGTCAACTATGACAACCCAAACCACTCCTGGCACTGGCCTGCGTCTCAAGTTCGGGCAGATCAACCTCGATCATCGGAAGGATCCGAACTGCGAGACGCAGGTCGATTGTGAGAAACTAGGACTCCAAGTAATCCTGGCTCAAGAGTCGCTAATAAAGCATCTCCCAAGTGGCCACAAACTGGTTGGCTCCCAAAACAACGTTCGGAAAGTCTACACCGTCGAAGCCAACCAGGCTAGAGCAGCAATCATCGTCTTGGATCCCACCGTCGGCGTGCTCGCACTAAACTCTCTAAGTACCAAAGACGTCGCGGTCGCGGAGATCGGCTTCGGGGAGTGCAGAATGATCGTCGCCTCTGTCTACATTTCACCTAACGAGCCATACGAACCTGTTTTACAGCAGTTAAAACAGGTTGCGCAACGGACCGAGGGCCGCCCCCTACTGATCGCCGGACATTTCAATGCGAAATCACCGGTATGGGGCGGGGACCCTCAGAGGCTCCACAGAGGAATTGCAGTTGAAACTTTATTCGGCGCCCTCGACCTGTCGGTCTGCAACGACCCGTCCTCGCCACCCACCTTCGAGAACGCGCAGGGAAAATCATGGATAGATATCACCCTCTCTCGTGGAGACATCGCAGTCGAGAACTGGAGGGCCTGTGGCACGGAGGCGGGTCGTTTCGTTACCAGCCACCGACTTCTTCAATACGAGGTAGAAATAAACCGGGCACCTCCTAGACAAGGGTTCCCAAATCCTGGAACGGCACTTGCCCAGCTGAACAAGGCCAACTTGGGCAACTTTCAAGACAGGAGGTGCCCGGCGGGTGCCAACGAGGTGACGATCGATCGCGAGGTAGACGACTTCACCGACATCTTACGCAAGTCCACGAAACAAGTAACACCTCTCGTGGAACCCACCCGCAACTCTTGGTGGGACGACGAGTGCGAAACAAGGAAAGCGGAGGTCCTCAGGGCGCTGTCTGCAGCCAGGAAGGCCAAGCCCTGGGAAAAGGACCTCCTCTGGACTAGGAAAAGGGACCTCGAGAAGTAGTGTAGGGATTTCTTGAAAGCCAAGAGGCAATCTCATTTCTCAAATTTCCGAAAGGTATCCCTAGACAAGTACGGACCCTGGGGAGTTGTCTACAAAGCCGCAGCCAATAAATTTCAACATAAACACCCACGGGCAGAGATTCCGACCCAGGACGCCGACCCCGACGGAGAGGCCCAGTCGATGCAAGACGTCCTCATGGCAACACTCCATCGCATGATGCCGGACGACGACGCACCTGAGGACGATCGGCATGCGTCGTGGTCGGTCGAGGCGGACCCTCCTGCCCCCCGCCCACTCTGAGTAACATCACGGAAGCCGCCGCACACTGTGGTATTGGACCTGAAAAGCTGGCCAAAACTATTTATCACCAGATATCGCCGAGTTTTAAAAATATTTTACAATCAGTACTTCTTCTTAAGTGATAATATGCACAATTTAACCACCCAACACATCTTATGACAATTTGCGGAGAGTTTAAAGAGGGTGCAAGAAGCCCTCCAAAAAGCCTTTAAAAGGACGCAAAGTATCTGACTAAAGCGGTGCATTTAGACGAGTTTCTTCTTCACCTATGGTCTACTTTTCGAAATAAGGACTTTCTATTACCTCACAATTGATGGTTTTTTTTAAAAACAGCGTAAGTCACTTCAAAATTTTTGACGAAACAGCCGATCTCTAACATTGAGGAGTAATTGAACATTTCTCCAAAAAATTAATATGAATCATTCTAGGTATTAGATTTTTGGCAGTTTTGAATCAGAATTAGTGCTAGTATGAAAGTGCCGGGACCTCCATATGATGATTTGAGGTTAAATTATAAGATGAAAATGAGTTTTATCATAATAAGAACCATCGTAAGGGCAGAAAGCACCTGTGAAAATGATTCATTTT